CCTTCTGCTTCTTTGGCCCGTCCAAGAAAGCTTGGCAATGACCTGAAAACAGCATTGAAAGCGTTCGTAGAGAGATCATTGAGGAACACTTGAAACATAGGTGTCTCTTTATTCAAACTTAGGCATATTTCTTCAAAAATGTCTATGATTTCTCAAACCAATGACAGTGTGTTAGGTCCCAAAGAACATCCCAAATCTGCAATCTTTAAACACTTGAAAGGTACTGCAGTATAACTTTGTTATGCATTCTTCCACATGGGCTTTGCCTTGCTCATTCCCCTTTTCTGTCATTAATGAAACAGAGCTCAGCTCAATTCCGCAGTTATTTGTGTGTGAAAATGTAGAAAAAGCAATTGTTATGTGTGTGTTAATGTAGCAAAAGGACTAAAATGGATAGAGAACTACTTGAATGATTGAGTTATTAGCATAGCTATTTTTTCCATCTCCGCCATTCATGCAAAGAACTTGTTTTGCTTCCATGACTACTTTTGCAGATATTATTGGTTAAGGACGGTACTTATACTTGTTTCCCTTCCAAGCCCTTGAAAGCACTTCCAGGCTCCAGTCATGTGGCCTTCTTGAGATCTACGACTGCCCAGAGTAAAAGAAATTTGATATTTAATGTTAGCAAAACCCAAAGCACATATGCAAGATATGCTTAGATCTGTTAAGGTTTTTTAATTCACAATGTTAATATGCTGCCAAGTGCCATCCCTACAACGCTTTGGTTTACATTTCTATAATGTTAATGTTAATGTTAATTAAGACTAACCAACAATACCTGGAGAATCGAAGATACATATGGACGTTGCTTAGAATTTCAAAGAGTATCCATGGCGAACCCCATAGGATCTTAATCACTGGAGAGCAAAAATTCCTCGGCCTGGCTTTTCTTTTGATCATCTTCAAAACCGGCACCTACTACGGCCATATTGAAGACTCAAATTCTGTCTCCTCAATAAAACCTTGGAGCTGAAGATTATTATAATAAATTTTCACTTTTTTTTAAACAACAAGTAACCACATTTTTATTATTCAAAGTACAAAGGATATTTCAATCATTACATCACAATTTAATCTCAAAATACAAAACAATTACCCCAATAAGTATCCTTCCACCACTCATAAAACTTTTCAGACTATATTCAGATCAGACAACATAGGCATATATTAATTATAGAGACAGCGATCACCAGTACCTGCAACCCATTGCTTTGCCACAAATGCCAGTCAAACCAATCCTGCCGGCCACCAACATCCCCACTCTAACAGCCCTCACATAGATTGTACTGATTCTTTTACACATTCTAGACAGATTTAACATGCATTACATATTCATAGGCATTGGCCAAGGACAATAACAATAAATGTAGAGTAACTATTTTATGGCATATAACTGATGAAGGTTCAGTGATTCTTTGTCAAGGAGACAACAACATTGATAAATTGGCATTTATTTGTCTCCATGTAATCAAGAACATCATCTTTGAACCTTCTAAACAACTCATCCATGATTGATTTCCCAAAGTGACTTGCCAAAATGGCTTCACCAACTGCTCTAATGTCAGTGGCAATTATCACTGCTCTTTCTTGCTTTCCAAGGCTGCTATTAGCCTTTTTTATGTAACTGTCCCAATCCATATTGAAAGTTTCAAGTCTCGTCAAAGTGAAAGATCCTTCTGCTTCTACCACTTTCTTTACTTCTTCTGTAGTAGGGGCGTAGTATGGCATATTGAAGGTATCCAATTTTGCCTCTTCAATCAAGCCCTGAAATTGTTCAAAGGTTATATTTGCTATGATGGAATGAATTTGTATGTATTGTACACCATAGAAAGGAAAGAAGTTTGTTACCTCAGAGACCATGTCATTGAGTTTCAATCCCACAAATTCCCAAATGCTAAGAGGGTCTTCACTTTTGATGCTGCCCATCGTTGTTATGACCATGTGACCACCAGGGATCATTTCTTCAGCTCGAGACTTCAAGAACAGGATGAAATCTCTTTCAAATTGCTTGAAGTATGCTTTGACCACAGCAGGCGGACTTGTTTTTGCTATGTATACATTTTCTTTATTAAGTGCTTCTCCTGTTTCACTTAATAAATCTTTTGGTATCTGTAATCAAATAATTAGTTTATTAGTATTATTTTGAGATAAATCTTTACATACTTTAATTTATTATTTTAGCTTTAATTTTTTTGATTTTTTGGTGGATTGAATGTGATTTTATTAGATGTTACATTATTTTTATTATTTGTGCATAAAAGAATTGAAATACATAAAAACAGAAGTTTTTTTGGACTTAATTACATACCTTTTGTTAGTTTAGGGACAAAATTGCAAGAATAGAAGTTGAAATCTCAAATCAGAGATCAAGGTGAATAAGAATAAAGTGTTAAGACCAAACTGAAAATAAACTAAAACTTAAAGGACCAGTTTTGTCATTTTCCGATTTTAGATTTATCTAAAGGGTCCCGACGCGGACTGAGCATCGGCACCACCAAATAAGTTCTAGCACCTTTCGTTAAACAAATGTTTTGTGCAGTACTGTTGGGATAATTTTTTAAAATTATTTTGTGATACAATTTTTATATGTTATTAAATGAGTGAATGTATTTAATATTATAAAAATAAAAAAATAAAAAATTTAAATAACACATTAAATTATATCAAAATGTAGTATAAAAATATTGTTACAAAATCATTTTCCAATTTTTTAAGTCCGTGTGGACACGTATAATGAGGTATCAACACGTTCGGCAATTTTCGACAATTTTAACCCTAAAGCTTTCTATTTATTTATTTATTTTAGCATTAGTCCCACTTCTTTTCTATTAGGGCTTTCTTACAATTTTGAGAGATTTTTAGGGGGAAAGACAGGTGGTGACAAGAATACCAATAGTAAAAGATGATTAAAATTTAAGATTTAATATCATCAAATTAATTTTATATGTTCTTAAATTTTTTTTACTATGTCCAATATTCTTCTATTTACTATGAAATATTTGGATATTTTTCTTTAATTGTAAAATAATTTAGCTATATATTTAAGGTAACAAGTCTAATTAATTTAATATAGAGTTTCATGAATTTTATATTTTCAAAACTTATTTATTACTTTATGTAGATTATATATCATTAAGTAAAAGTGTATATCAATTCTTATTCCTAAAATAAATTAGAGATTTAATCTTAAATTGTGTTATTTTAATTAATTAAAATTTAATTCAAAATTTAAAAATCAATTTTATTAAATGTTAATATTTAAATTTAAAAACTGATTATATTAGAACATATATTTGGTTTTTAAATTTAGATTTCAACATTTAATGGGGTGGATTTTTAAATTTTGAATTAAAAATTTAGTTTTTAAATGTAGGTTAAGACTCTATTTTTTTTTTTTTGAATCAAAGTTGATACACATTAACCTTATATTATTATTCTTAATATTTTATACAATAATTTATAATAATATATACCATAAATTGAATAAAAGCCAGATATAAACCAATGTATTTGTATAGTATTAATGATAAATAAACTCAAAAATTTTTGCAAAACCTAATGAGTTTTACGGAATATAAATTTTTTTTATCTATTTAAATTCATATAAAAATATAATGAGTTAATTAATCTAGTTAATTATGATGAAATTAGATACCTTGAAATCTCAAAACTTGGTTTCACTTTAATTAATTTATTGTTTAATTAGTTTAGTTAGTTAAATTAAATCTTTTAATTTAAGTGTTAAAAAAATTAAAATTAATTAATTTTGGTACCTAATTAATCACATCTCTATAATATGATATTCAATTCTCATCATTATATCACTTAGTAACTAATAATCTTGCTAGAGTGAAATTAACTCACCATCCATATGCTACTTAAATGTTGTATTATGCAATGCATAATTACTAGATCTAAAGATGAAACAATCAAATGAAGAAAGGAAGTTAATTTTCTCACCTTAGAGATCCACATGAGAGCATAAGAAGAATGGAAAAGGTGCAGATAATTGTCAGGGAAAAGTCTCCCATAGAAAGACCCTGGTGCTCCTGCTATGAAACATTGCCTGAACATTCCCCCCTTCTCTTCCTCCAGCTTCTTATGAAAACTTGGCAATGACTTGAAAACCGTATTGAAATCATTTCCAGGAAGATCATTTATAAATGCATGCAAAGAGGGTGGCGGCTGCTCTAACCTTTGACATGTTTCTCCAATTATGTCTATGATCTCAGATAACACTAGAAGAGTATTAGGCCCTGCAGCGCACCCCAAATCTGCTATCTTCAAGCAATCTGGTAACATCGAACAATAAACCTCTGTCACACTTGCTTCCAGTATTGGTTTCACCAAGGATATCACAGTCCTCTGGAAAACAAAGGTGAAATATATCAGTTAGCTTTTCAGAAAATGAACATTATGACAATATATATAATCATCAACAAACATTAGAATGCAACTATGAAAGAACGTTAAATTAATATCGAATCTCAGCATCAGTATTAGTTGAATGGAGGAGAGAAAGAAAGAGTGATTAACCTGAATGGAGGAGTTGCTTGCATAGCTCAGTTTTCCCACCCCTCCATTCATGTGTAGGACTTGCTCGACCTCCATTTTCTGCTCTTTTTGTATCTTTTCAACTATGTCCTTTCTCGAGTTCTTTTCTGGGCATTGTTGTGAGTACGCACTCGATTTATTTATAGACAGAAAAACTAAAGGCTGTTGTGCAACGCATCCCCCGAGAGGAATCAAAAGTACAGATTTCCTCTTCAATATGATCAGAAGAAAATCGAGAAGGTTTGGCACGTTGAATTTTTCTCCGAAAATTTTTGTTTAAAATACTGTCATTGAATAATTAAAGTTAAGCACTCAATTTAAGCCTCGTTTGGTATAGC